TAGCTTTTTCGTCTTCATAGTTAATGGAACGTAGATTTAGTGCGGTTATGAACCTGATTACGAAAAAAAGAAACCGACTTGATGTTAGTGCTCGTGGTGACTTGCGGTTATTGCTTACAAATATAGAGCCAAACATAAACAATTTGATCACAACTCATCAGGCTCAGCCATCACATTAAAAATGTTTTTACGACCACTGCATTCCGGTAAAAACAGTTTTAGTAGCACGGCACTGACTAGGGGGTCTACAATCACTCTTTGGCTCAAAAAGGGGTGCGTAGCCATAATAAGTTTGGGAACCACTGATCTACAATTTTCTATTAAATGAAATAGTCAGTTTTTAATTAGTTCTTATTATGACCTTGTACTTGAGCAACTGATGCAATTCCGAAGGTAAACACTCGTAACTTATGACACACCTGAACAAGATGCGTCCAATTAAACTTTTCCAAAGTTATTCGCCCATGTTTATCTTTTGTTACAGACATTTCATGTAATTTCCGTAAAGTTAAATCCCATCGATTTTTCAACATGTATATAAAATATTTATCGCTTAATTAATTTGATTTATTGATTGGAATAGGTGGCAAATATGGGGGAATATAGACAACCAAATTAACCAATCATGCATTTCATCAATCAATCGTAAAAGTTTATGATATAATAAGATTTCGATTTAAGTGTGAAAATTTCATATCGCGAGGTAAAAATAAAATTGGTCGAAATAAATTGGCGTTATTTTTTATTCTTTGCAATATTTTTAACGATACAAAAAATTGCGGATTTAGCGATTTAATGTCCCTGAAAATGCAACGACTCGTTTTTGGCTGTCGCCAATTTAAATCACCTTTTTATCGAGCAAAATAAACTCGAATCGTTTATTTTTATACTTTAACCGAAAAGTGTAAAAAAAATATTTTTTTTTAATATTAATTGCCACCACCCACGTTTTACTAACAACCGCTCCTTTTTACACTTGGTGCTCTGTTTTAAATCAAACGTCCTCTAAAATGATGTATCGCAAGTGGGGTAGACCTATTTAAGGCCCTTGAAGGGAGGAGTATTTTTGGGGGAGGGTGAGCCCCTTCTGTCATCTCTGCGTCAGAAGATGTCTCCCTAGAGATACGAATCGACGGGCTTCGCCAATTTGGACGTTTTAATATCAAAAAAAAAGTTTGAATTACTCACCCCAAAGCTATATTAGATGAAAATTTTATTTCCTTTCATAATTATCATTAATTTACTTTTTTTAATTATAACTTAACCAATTTTCACATTTCTAGCTTTTCCCATATTCTAAAATCTTTAAATTTTCTGAAAAACAATCTCTTTAATTTTATTAATTTGTTTTAACTTTGCAAATAATCTAAAGGTCTTTTCAATCAATTAGTACCATTTTGACACACACCAATCAACTTTTTCTACTTCTTGGTATCTTTGGAACACTTTCAAAAAACATCTAATTCAATTTTTTTTATTCTTTCACCCTCGTTAAGTAGTCCAGAGATGTTTTTAGTCGATTGGAACCACGTTTATTTGAATAATTTTTACTCTTAATTCCATTTTCTGCTTTCATCGTGACAGAGTTCCGCTTTTCCGCTTGTTGCTTTAACCTGTCATAAATTTTATAACAACAGGTCCGTATTAACCTTTTTTATTTTCGAGCTGTTCCGTTTCTGTTTTTCCCAGGTCTATTCGAATAAAGCATTAAAATCTTGGAATAAATAAGAAATTAACGTTTGTTGTAAAACTGCTAAATTCACACGTTTTAGCCATTCTTAAACCTTGTTCGGGTCGATAACTTTCTTATATGAGCAGGAAAAAACTCTAGAACCATATCTATCTTATTGAAAATTTTCTGCTCTTTCTAATGGTGTCTTTTAATAACAATTATACACTTTAATTTAACAAGAATTATTAATTAAAGTTATACGGGATGGTCAGAAATGTGCGTCAAATTTCCGTATCTCAAAAAGTTTATTTTTTTAAATGGCAACTCTACTTTTTCACGGATTAAGATAGCTGAAGGAGCGCCCTTTCTGACTGTGATAACAGTTTTTTAAAATTCGGTTTCGTAACAATTGCACAAGGTCTTGAAGTTTGGTAATTTTGAGCTATTTTAAGTACAGCGCGGTGTTCTTCATTTTTTATTGATCTTAATATCAACTTATCGGCAGACGAAACCCCGATTTTAGATAGAGAAAGATTCAAGCTTTCAAGTGGTGCATTTAGTTTTTCGCTATCCCTAATTATAAGGAAGATAGGAAGATCTTTTAGCGAAAAAAAAAAATTGATTGGAATAGTTTTATTTATATATCCTTATATGGTTGAAGGAAAGTACTTAGTTTGGATGGGAATCATGGAATCAATCGTTGAGAAAACGGGACGAGAGGTCTTTTGCCGACGTGTGCACATAGTGATGTGGAGTCGTATGGGAATAAAGAGGCCATGGGAATCTCTAAGTTCGTCCGAGCTAACGTCTGACTGTATAAATATCGAATATCTGGAAGATTAGGACACTAATCGTTTGTAGTGCGTTGCAGTGGTCTCATTTACCATGTTAGGCTGGGGTTCTATGCGGAGGAAAGGGTGTACGATGGTCGGATCGTCCGATATATCCGTTTTTGTGACACATATGGATGGTAAAATGAGATTGTGTACAGCTCGTCGAGAAAATGTCCGGCGCGGTGCGGACGGAATTTACATTAGACGTTAGGCGCTCCGCGCGTAATTTATTAAACAAACAACGCGCCGTCGCAGGACAAATACTTTGCGTGTCAGTGCAAATATTAATATTATTCGGATTCGTTTTCCTCCGGTTCTGCGTCGGCACGCGAACGGACTGAGCGCCGTTTCTTCGCCTTCTCCTTCGCCTTCGTCCCAGACGCTGGCCTATCGAAGACGGCATTCCATTCCTATTAGTATATACGACACCATACGCCTCCTATTTTTTCACTTTGCCTCACATCCTGATTACGTCCCACCGTAACCGGCCGGCTTAATACGACACTTTTAATTTTACTATCAAAAATCTCATCAACCACACTTAGAGAATACTCATTCTCTCATTCTCATCAACAATCCCACTATTTCTCGGGACTCGAGTGCCTTTTCAATTCAACTTCACTAGAGGAAGGGATTATGCATCGATGGGTTGCTATTTTATTTACGTGACCTTCAAATGACCTTTAAAACTAAAAACGTTTTATCGGAATCTTAAAATTTAAAAGAATGAATGTAATCTGAAATCATTTCCGGCTAAAACTAAATCTTCTTATCAGAATTGTTATTCATTCAAACTTTCGGAATACCATCTTATTCATGTTTATTTTGAAAATTACAAATCTGTTTTGTTGTATCTCTTACCGCGCCGAATAGGGAAAAAAACGGCAGTTGCTCGTTGAAGAAGGGGGGTACCCCATTGGTTAATTTCGCTATCACAATAAAGAGCACGGATTCGAAAACGTCATTGTCCTTGCACTACCGACTCCTACCCCAGGGGCGTTGGGTAGAGGTAGAGCAGAGTTGACAAAGGTCGCATGGAGCTGACCCGGCCGTTCGGGGATTGCATTTGTCATCTGCTGGAAGGAGATAATTTGAAACTGTGTCGAAAAATTTTTGCCGGCACTGTCTACCAAGATAAGACAGCATCATTCTTCTTCATTTTTTTACTTCATTTTTGCCATAACTAATGAAACTATAAAGACATTTTATTTTTCGAGTCTAAATTCAAAAACGCCGTTTAAGATCTAATTTACAACTCAACTGGGTCTTTTATAATTAAGTTATAAAATCTTATTAAATAGAATCATACAGTGACAAAAAAAAAAGATTAAGAGAGTATTATTAATCATTTAGTCATTAGTAAAGTACGCGTTAAGCGTTTATTATTCCAAGTAAACAGGCCAAGAATGACGAAAAGAAATTATGACTAACACAGGTGATTTCATAATCGTGCTAGTTTTTGTCCAGTTTAAGGAATTTAAGTTTCTCGAGGTCGATATTCGTATAAGCAAATTTGTGAAAGCTAATTATGTTTATTTTTAATTTTCTTGTAGTAGCAATAACAAAATGTAACAAGACAATAACGCGTTATTTATACATTTACACTTTCCCGGAGTTATTGTACACCCGAAAAGAAACGGTGTTCGTGGGCTTCGTGAACTGTTATGCGCACGCGCGATGATCCGCGGTGGTAAGGGTGGGGTATGCATCCGAGAAATTCAGTTTCACTCCAGCGAGGGCAGCAGAGTCGGTGGTCCGTTCCGCAGCAAAACAACGACATCGGTGTTAGAAAACGTAACTATTTTTCATTTTAGAAGGATCGCAAGATACCTTACAATCCCTAACTCGCTTGGATAGTGATTAAATAAAACGGACTGTACCGCGCTTACTGAATAACCGGGTGAAGTTTTTGGTCGCGTTTAAGTGAACGTCCAGTGAGGTACATAACCTATAAAAGTGACTAAGGCCCGTCGTGTTTTCGTACGGACCCCTGCATTTATTCGATTTTAGTCCTTCGTTTTCAAACGATTTCGAGGTATTGTGTTGTTTTCTGTGCGGCTGTACTGTTTTCTGTTTGTAGTTGAATAGTTGCAGTGTTCGGGATTGTGGTAGGGACGTCGCTCAATTATTAAAGTAAAGTTATCGTGAACTATTTTTGAAGAAGACAGTCTTTGCGGTGAGTATAATTTAACAAGAGTGATAACAGAAAAAGATTTTTTATGTTATTATTATCATTGTTATTATTAAACGGAAAAAAATTAAAGTAACCGGGGGAAAATTGAGTTCTTGGATAAACGAACGATTTTGTGCTAATATTATGGCCCAGAACTCGCGGTTAACATTACACGCGCGTTTAAATAACAATAAAACATCAACAGATGCGACGTGATAGTTTGGCGGCGCCCCAATAGATGGCGCTGCGCATCCGACGCCCGATTTAAAATGCCTAAAAACCAGGGGGTCACGTAGAATGAAATAGCGGGCACTGTGACCCCTTGGATCGCGACTTCGAACAAGTCCTAACACGCTACTGAAGACGGGTCTGTTTGTTCTAGTGGGCCCATGACGTGAAGCCCCAACCTGCCGCTGCGAAATGAGGCGGCTAGTTTTGGCACAGCTGTTGCTCTTCTCGGCGCTGGTATCATCATCCAGCGACATCGTGCGTACGTTTAACGTGTCGTCACCGGAAGTTGAAAAGTTTAACCATTTGGTTGTTGATAAGAACACCGGAAGGATCTACATCGGAGCCGTTAACCGGCTCTACCAACTATCCCCAGACCTAGAGCTCGTGGTTGAAGACAAGACTGGCCCCGAGTACGACGCCGACGATTGTACGGTTTTAGAATGCAATTCAGCTACGAGGAATTTGACGAAAAATGTAAATAAGGCGTTGGTGATAGATTACACAACGACCAGATTGATATCATGTGGAAGTGTTTCTCAGGGGATATGCTCTGTGAGGAACCTGCATAATATATCGGACTTCAAGGTCGTTAGAGAGGCCGTGGTGGCCAATGATGCCACGGCTTCAACGGTAGCATTTATTGCACCAGGACCTCCGACGCCCCCCGTATCTCAAGTGATGTACGTCGGGGTAACCTTCTCCGGGAAGCCGCTGTACAGGTCGGAGGTCCCCGCGGTCAGCAGTAGATCATTAGACAACGATAGAATGTTTAGCATCGCACACACTGCTGTTACTACCGGAACGCGTATGTTCGTCAACTCCCTGGCGAGAGAACGATATGTCATCAACTACGTCTACGGTTTTAGTTCCGAAGGCTTCAGCTACTTTTTGACCACCCAAATGAAACACACCAGCTCTCAGAACCAATATATCAGTAAGCTAGTGAGGGTATGCCACGATGACGAGAATTACTACTCGTACACGGAAATCCCCATGGACTGTACCGGCGACGTGCACAATTACAACCTGGTGCAAGCCGCGTACGTCGGCAAGGCCGGATCGGACCTCGCTTCCGTCCTGGGAATCACCGCGCAGGATGACGTTCTCTTCGCCGTCTTCAGCGCCAGCCAAACTCCGAATCCAAGTAGACCGATGAACTCCTCGGCGCTCTGTGTCTACTCCCTGAAGGCGATCAGGCGGAAGTTCATGCAGAACATCAAGAACTGCTTCAGCGGCAACGGAGAGCGCGGGCTGGATTTCATATCTCCCAGCCATCGGTGCGTGTCTACGGTAAGTACATATCTGCGCACCCCTGTGGCGTTGAGGCGGTATTGATCGGTTGCCGGGTCGTAGCCACGCCAGTCCCTGACTGACGTCTACCGCCGAATTCCTCACGTGCATTCCGGTACTAACAGATATCATTTGCGGAGGACCAACGCGTTTTTATCCACCACCTCTACTCGTTCCCTTTTTTTCCCGGGATCGCGCTAGGTACGTCCTTTAACCCCGCCCACCGCTCTTTTCTTACCTCTTCTCTCATTCAACTCGCAATTAAAATAATCGAACATGTACTTATCTCTTTTTTATCATGAACATGTTTCAAGTTTTTTTTATAAATTAATAATCCTAAATATTATTGTGTTGATTAAAAGAATAAACACTGAACCGTGTTCGAAAATGAACTCGTGTCACTTCGTGCTCTGTTAGACAGTTGGGACATAACCTACAAAACCGGGTGCCATTGTCGAGCTCGCTGTTAATTACCGGCTGTTTTGTGACAAGCCCTTACAAACATTCGATGGATCCTTTCAGAACTAAAAGTGTTAATGACAACAAAAAAATATTATCTCACACAATATAATTAAATCCAAGAAAACAATATATAAAAATTGTTGCATAAATTAGTTGAACAAATTTTGTTATTGTCGCATGTAGGTCAAATAGTGTAAATTGATGTCCTAAATTGCCGCAGTAACGAAACGAAGTTAAACGACCGGCTTAAGAGTAGCGTTTGTGTTATACTGAATTAATTAATAGGAATTGCTGTTCGAGCGCCGCGGTTGTGGTATTAGCTTTAAATAGCAAATCCGCGTTGACCTTTTAAGGCCGCCATACCACTTGAGCAATTCGAAAGTAAGATCTTGCCGCGTCAGATGCATACTGGTAAAGTTACTTTGCTTACTACTTATTTTGCATACTACTTCTTTTGCGTACTATTTATTTAGCCGACTATTTATTATGCTTACTACTTATTTTGCCCAACCCAGAAACGAAATCGCTTCAAGAATAGCAGACTTCATTTTAGCAGCGGTCGTTCGGCACATAACTCACGCGTTTGACCGCCCCGTGAGCTGTAAAGTAGATGGATACATTAGCAAGGTGCTTTGTATTTCCTCTTGCCACTTTTTTTTTGTACAACAGTCGGATCGGGTATTGTTTTCGGATAATGTACGGACGGCGAACAAATGGGTGCCTTTCGAACAAAAAATATTAACGCAATTTCTCGTAGGCGCCCTAAAACATCCCGTTGGACGACGTACATTACTAATGTACTTTACAATGTCAAAGTATGCGAGTATTTTTCATTCTCCAAGAATAGATTAAAAATAATAAAATGGAACCATCCCATTGAATAATAGATTATTGTATTTAATGTATTTTTAAATATTTTAAATTCTTTTTAGTGCTAAGTTGGTATGTATGTACAGTTATCAACAAAAGTAAAGTTAAATTGGCGATGTTCCAATTATGCCTGCATTCATTTTATTCTTTCTGATATCTTATTATCACATTATTTATTGTAGAATAACTTATTAAATAATTCGAAATATAAACAATCTTTCATGAAATTCTAATGATTCACAAATTTTTCCAAGATTGATGTTTTCAGAACGTTATCAATTGTTCTAAAAGATTTCCAGAAAATGTATATCATGCGATTTCTGAGATTTTTCAAAGATAAACATAGATAAAGGATGTTGTGATTTTTACATCATTTTCAAGAAATTCAAGAGTTTCAGATTATTTATATTAATTTCTTAGGTTATTCCGGGTTTATTTCTAAGTTATTCTAAGAATTAAAGTGTATCCAGAGATTTTGGAAAGATTCCTAAAAATATTCAGTGATTTTTATAAATTTCTTGAAATTAATAAAACGCTTTTTATGGTTTTTTTACTATTTTTAGGGGTACCTACAAATTTAAAAGAGTATTGAGTATTTTTTTAATTTCTAACGATTTCAAAACATTTCCAGATTTTTATAACTAAATATTTAGACATTTTTCAATTTGTTAGTATTTCCAAAGGCATTTCTAGCTATTTCCAGATATTTGCAAAGAATTTTCAAGAGTTGCGAGGGAATTTCTTGCAATTTTTTAGGGATATCTGATGATGTTAGTCAATTCTAGACGTTTTTTGAGAATTTGCTTGATATTTAGAGAATTTCTTGGAATTTTTAAGAGGTGTTACGGATATCTTAAGATATCTAGGTATTTTTAACAATTTTAATTGATTTCCGGAAGTTGTTTATCACCTTATTATTATTATTATTGCTGCCGAGCTGAGGAGGGCGGCCCCTCTCGTTACCGCGACCTATAAGATCTATTGTAACTTTAGCCCTCCAAAGGTTTAGGGCAAATGTAGGTCCTTAATGAACCTTAGTATTGGCCTGAGGTCTTGAACCTTTATGTCGGTAGGTAACAGGGGAGTTTTACCGAAGACGTTGTGCCTTAGACGTCCTCTGGCGACGCAATTGCACAGTATATGTTCAGCAGTTTCTGACTCGTCGTTGCATAGTCGACAAGTTTGATCCTCAGCTTGTCCAATGTGGAAGAGGTGGTATTTTAGAGGCACATGGCCGGTTAGGTAGCCTGAGAGCGTTCTTAGATCCCCTTTGCTGAGGCATAAAACCTCTTTGGTTTTGTTTTGCGACGGAGTTATCATACTCTTCGCTTGTCTGTGACCTGGAAGTTCTTTCCAGCGTAAGGCTATCTTTGAAGCCTCCCAGTTGTTGATTATTTGTTTTAGGTGGCTTTTTTGTAGTCCACATCCAGGTTGGGGTCCAATGAAGGGCGTGTTTGCTGCCTCTTTGGCCAGCTTGTCGGCTTTCTCATTGCCCTCAATGTTGCTGTGACCTGGAACCCACCATAGGGTAACATCATTGCCCCTAGCGAGTTCTCTCAGGTTGTTGGTGCACTCTCTGATCAGTGCGGAGCCTACCCACATATTTAAGGTGTTTATCACCTTACCCACATATTTATGGATTTTTAAAGATTTTTAGGTATTTCCAGCTATTTTTAAAGATTAACGATGGATTTTCAAGTGTTGGAGGCGAATTTAATAGTGGATCTAACAGGATTTATAGGTTCCTAAAGAAATTGAGGAATGTTTATTGAGAATTCAGTAGCATTTTCAGGGATATGTTCAGATTTTTAAAGAAACAGAAGAATTTCTAAGTTTTGTATGGATTTTAAAAGATTTTATATAGTTTTTCGAAGTTATTTCCAACAGTTCTTAGAGATAATTTCAAATATATCCATCAATTTCTAACAACTTCCAGCATTTTCGAGGTAATTCCAGAAACATACAAAGCATTTTTAAGGATTTCTTGAAATTTTCAATAGTAGTTACGAATTTTCAAAGACATCTAAAAATTTGTAGCAATTCCTAGTTTTTCTGAGGTATTTCCAGAAACTTACAAAAGATTTTTAAGCATTTCTAGAACATTTCTTGGAATATCCAACAGTGGTTAGGGATTTTCAAAGATATCCAAGAATTCCTAACAATTCCTAGTCTTTTTAAACATTTCCAGAATCTTACAAACAATATCCTAGGGAGGATTTCTAATCTTTTTGTAGATTATTAAGTGATCTTATCTTTGTATTTAGAATAAGAATATCTCAAAATATTTAGGAATTAACCAAGAAAGGATTAATATAATTTTTTTTCAATTATATTATTTATAAAACTTGATCGTTTGAGTATTGCTGTAAATAAAAAAAAAGTCGATATGTATGGTGTTTACCATAGATATAAAATAGAACGTCGGGATCTAGATAGAGCCTAGATGTGTAAATAAAATTATTCCAGACAATTTCCGCGGTCGCATTCGCGGATATCCAGGAACAATAAAGTATAAAACGGGCGCCAGTTTTATATGCCCGCGGTATATAAATTTATGTAGTGCAGCTGGTTGTAAAAGCTCCTCATTTCATATACAAACACTGGCATCTCGTTCAATTTGGCCGTCGGTGATCTAGTCGGTTTTGCGAAGGTGGAGAAGGAGGACACTTTCGTATGAAGGTTCGGTTCCACCTTCGTGGGAAACCCTCACGCCGGGTTCGAAACATACATATTTAACACCCCGCACACCGACTGGAAAATTTTTATTTTTCCTCCGCATTTTTAATAAATGCAGGTGACACGGGACGATCAGAAAAAAAAGGTTGAATAATGTTTGTGCATCGACTTTCTAGGCGTGGTCGGAACAAAAAATGTTTTTAATAAAATTTGTGTTGTTTATCAAGGTCATTTTCGGCCGAGGTTATACGACGTACGGTCGTTACAATTAATTATCGCCAAGTGCATGACATTTGATGGTGCGTCATTTAAATCAAGAGCACTATCAAGGGAATTGATATGCAAACGATAGTTGTGGCGTATAAATCAGCCTTGATTCCTAGCGTTCTGGAATTGATGGATATTAATTAAATTATAACCCAGATTCCCGATAGCTCACACGTGACAATTTGCCACTACATCATCGGCGTCGTTCTCTTCCTTTCCCCGCCCTCGAGAAATCGGGATTTATCTGCTTATTGATTTTGAGTGCTTGTAATCTCTTTAGCAAGCACTTCCCTGGAATTTTCCCGGTTTTGCATAGGACGCGGTCGAGGTATTGACGAATCGTTTAAACCCCATTAGCTCTAACCCCCGTCGTTGCGGCCGTGTTTATTTTTAAAAGGAATTACTGACCGCCCAAAACGGCAGTCGCTTTTGTATTCTAATAGCCTCAGTCAGGAAATATCTGATATTTACTTTAACTAGCTTTAATGCTGTTAAAGTTAGTTATTAGGGTGGTTCTATTTTTGAAAATATATCTTGAAATTGTAGGAAATTGTCGACATTTTGTGGTACGATTTTCGCTGGGTTAGCGATACTATTGGGCTTCTGTAATACAATTAAACGAATCTCTATTCAAAGTTAGCGTTTAAAAACCATAGAAAGTCCGTTACGGGGCGATTGCGATTCACGTTGTGAAATAAGGGGGGCGTAGTTAAGGGGGCGGCTGT